CGCGTTTCTAGGTCGGCGGAGGGACGCCGCCCTCCCCTCCCCTTGTCTTTCCCTCAGGGCAACCAGGCCCCGTCCGACTCACCCGCGGCCGCCCCCGAAGCTGCTGTAGGCCCGGTCGTCGTAGGTGTCGTAGTCCGCCATTGCTCTTGCTGCGACTACTGCTCCGCCTCAGTCAGTCCGCCTTCCACCGCCGCCGCCTCAGCCTCCCCGAGCGCGAGCGCGCGCCCGCAGGACCCCGCGCCGCTTATATAGCGGGCCAAGCTCGGAGGGCTGCCCGGCGCGGTGCCTGAAGCCGGGGCCGGGCGCCTCTGCGCCTGCGCACTGGGCGGAAAGGCTGCCCTCGGCGTTGCCTGATTCAAAAAGCATGGGTGGGAATTATAATACACAGTACAGATAGCCAGATGGATAGATAGATACGCACATATACACATATGTGCATAGAAATACAGTACATACACAATAGGGATAGACAGATGGATAGATAGATACTGTAGTTAGGCAGACATACACATATGTGCATACACGTACATATACAGTAGGTACATACATATCTAGCAATAACTGTAGACAGACACACACATAGACACACAGCAATTGTTGTAGACAATGCAGACACACGTTTATATATATATTTATTTATTTATTGGACTTATATATGTGTGTGTGTGTATGTATGTATCTGTATGTATACAAACATATATATGCACATATTCATGTATAAAAAGGACTGTAGACGGAGAGACAGACAGACATGCACACGTGTGGATACACACACACACATATGTATAACAAGTACTGTAGACAGACAGACTTGCACAGGTGTGGATACAGAGAGAGACAGAAAGAGAGAGCAATAACTGTAGACCGAGGTTCAAAATGACCCAGGCAAGGCATGAGATGGAGAGACATTCTGGGTGTCGGGGCTTGTCAGGGGGGGGGCTAGGATTTAATCATCTCCTTTCAACAACCATTGGGTACCACAAGGCTCGTTCCTGAAGCCCGGGGCTCCCCGACATTTTTTATCAATGACTTGTACAAGGGAGTTCAGGGAGGACTGGAAGAACTGGGCATGTTGAGCCTTGAGATGAGAAGACTTGAGGGGGGAGAGAGGAGAGCCCTTTGCAAAGACCGACAGAGGAGGGGCAGGATCTGTTCTCCATCATCCCAGAGCGCAGGACACGTCATCATGGGCTCAAACTCTGGGAATCCAGATTCCAGCTGAAGATCAGGAAAAACTTCCTAACTGTAAGAGCAGCACGACAACAGAACCTCAGGAGGTGGCGAGCAACCCCAACTCTGGAGGCCTTCGAGAGAAAACCAGGCGCCCCTCTGTCTGATCTGCTTTGATATGGATTCCTGCCTCAAGCAGGGAGGGGGGGGTTGGACTTGATGGCCTTCGAGGCCCCTTCTGACTGGCCGATTCTAAATTGGAAAGGAAGAAGAAGAAGGGATTGAAACCGTGCAAAGAAAAATAAGAAAAGTTGATTTGGGGGAGGACTGCAGGTCCTAGAATCCCTCAGCTGGCTAGCGGTTTATCTCATCTATGGTCCCCCCCCCAAAAAAATCAACTATCTGTATTTAAGGTAACTCGAGCCCCCTTTCTCACCCCCGAGGCGGAGGGCGGTTGAAACGTCATGCTTTCTGTCCCTGCGTAGAGTCTCATATTCATACTCGATCAGTTCCAGTTTCCAAAAATCAAAGCAAATGAGTGGAGGGATCTGGGGAAAAAAAAGAAAGATGTTTATTTCATGGCATTGTGCCGATTTTTTAAAAAGTCTATTTCGAATTCCTGTGTATCTTAATGGTGCTGCTTCCCATGCGCAAGACTTTATTGTTATTAGGAATGCGACATCATAAGCATGTGCAAGTTTTTAAGTTTTGCAGAAGTCTTCAGCAAGCTAAGCCCCCCTCCTGCAAATGTTGTGGGTGGAGAAGCTTCGGAGCTGGTGTCTCGATGCTGGCACTTAAGATTTATGACGGATGCTGCAACTTGACCATCTAACCCATTTTTTGAACACCCATGCTAGGCCATCCTAGCATGATTATTTAACACCCATCCTAACGACAACTCCTTGAAATCTCAAAAAGCGATTAACTCCTGCAGAATTTTGAATTTCTGGTTCGAGTTGCTTTGTGCTACGCCGTAGAAGTACAATGACTCACAAAGGAGAATAGCGACAAGTTCCCCAGACAGTTCGCTCCCCCCTTTCTCATTCACTGCCACTATTAAGGTCTCAATAATTCACACGGAGAGATTTGTAGGAAAAAGAATGAAAATGTTCCATGACTCCCGGGTTGTGAAGAGATCAAAAGCAAACTCACTACTGGATTAAATTAATCGGGAAGTATCTAGACCCTTCCTCACAACTGCATTTTAAAAGAGCATGCAGACGGCCCAATTGTTAACATCCGTCCTCCCTCCCCGATTAAAATAAATAAAAATAAATCAGATTTGTGATTTTGAACGCTTGCACAGATTTTGATGCCTTTGTAAAAAAAACCAACAACACATGTTGGCTTAATGAAAAGATATTAGGATACCTAATCAGATAGAGTGACAGACTAGGACTCTGGAGGCCTGGGTTCAAATCCTACTCAACCATGGAAATTCATGGGTGGGGGAAGAGAAGTGGACTTGGCCATTCTAAATGTGGGGTTCTGTCATTGATTTGTTGTTTCTTTCTTTCTTCCCTTTGTTATTACCCCATCTTTCTTCTTCAAAGGACCCCAGGCGGCTTTACATCATGACGACAATTTTTTTTTAAAAAAGTTCCTTTTCTTGATTCTTGGTGGGTTGTCTTTTTTTCCCCTCCCTAAGGGGAGTAGTCAATTGACTAGATGGGCAGGGGATAGATAGATAGATAAGTTTTTTTTCTCCTCCCTAAGGGGAGTAAGTCAATTGACTTAGATGGGCGGGGTATAAATAAATAAACAAACAAACAAACAAACAAACAAACAAATAAATAAAATAAGCAAGCTTTGTCCAAACTCTGCAGGTCGTGAGATGAAGGCAAAACATGCATCTAGAAGAGGGTGTGTGTGAATGTTACTGGCTTGGACTACAACTCCCGGAATCCCGGATTCTGGGTGTTGTAGTCGAAGCCAGCAACCTTTCCACACACGCACATTTTTCTTGTCAATGCCAAGCGTCCCCGCTAGGGGGCAGGCGAGGGCACCCCTTATTTTGTCCCCCCCCCCGCCCGGCCACGCTTCCGACGACCGGGAGGACCCGCTTCCTAACCCGGAAGGGGAGGCTGGCATGTGTCTGCCGCCTTCCCCACGTGCGTTGCGTCCCAGCGATGGCCGCGGAGGAGGAGGAGAGCGGCGGCGATCATCCTCCCCGGGGGCCAGAGGCGTCCAGCCCGGCCGCGATCGCCCACCCGGGTCGGCTTCTGGGTCAGAACCGGCGGTTCCTGGATTTCTTCTGGGACCTGGCCAAGCCCGACCAGGGGGTCCGCCTCAAGGCCACCGAGGGGCTCCTCGAAGACCTGCGGGAGAGCCCGGCGGTCAGTTTCCCCCCCTCCATTCCTCCTCCTTGGGCTCGCCAAGGGCACTCTGCACATGCCCAGCGGCACGCCCGCCCGCCCTCGCTTCTAGCCATTTAAAGAATGGAAGGACGGGAGGGGATGCGACCCCATGCTGGAGGCAGGGAGGGGAATTTTTACTTACTTACTTACTTACTTACTTACTTACTTACTTACTTGAATGGAGGGGTATTTTATTTACTTACTGCCTTATCTTTTTACTTACTTGATTGTTTACTTAAATGGAAGGGTATTTTATTTACTTACTGCCATATCTTTTTACTTACTTGATTGTTTACTTATTTATTTACTTAATGCATGGACGGGAACTTGTATTTGACTTAGTTGCTTACTTGCTTGCCTGCTTACCCTGTTTTTGTAAACTTAAAAAAGTTTAAACTTACAACTTACCCTGCATTAGTAAACTTAAAAAGTTTACAAAGAAGAAAACAAAAGTTTGCAAATAAACTTAAAAAATTTACAAACAATAAAATGTCATGCTCAACGCCCAGCGATGGCGTTGGAGAATAAAGAGAATAAATAAATACGCACGGTAGATGGGACATTGAGCATGAAATTTTATTCTGTTTTATTTGGACCTCACTTTTCTTCCTGGTAACTTGAGATTCAAGATGGTTCATTGGGTGATATGTAAAAAAAAAAAAGAGAGAGAGGTCAAAGTAGGATGCTTTACAGTTTAACTATTTAATGTTTACTTATTTATTTACTTAAATGCATGGATGGGAGCTTTTATTTTACTTAACTGCTTGCTTGCTTGCTTACCTGCTTACCCTGTCTTTGTAAACTTAAAAGTTTAAACTTAAAACTTACAGCTTACTTTTGTATTTATGAACCTAAACATTTACAAATAATCTAACTAAAGAGAATAAATAAATAAACATTGTAGATGGTGTGTTGAGCATGAAATTTTATTCTGTTTTATTTGGACCTCACTTTTCTTCCTGGTAACTTGAGATTCAAGATGGTTCATCGCATGATATGTAAAAAAAGATAGAAAAGTCAAAATATGATGCATTACAGTGTAAAAAAGGACAGGATTCATGGGTTATTGTGTTGAGAAGAATAACAGTTTTTTGAAAATGTGTTTATAGGTGGTTTACGTGTGTCCTTGCGGTTTTGTCTTCTGTCGTTCCGATCTGGACAATATTTAAAAGAGGAGCGGAAAAAGTTTCGATTTAGAGGTCGCCAACCCGACCCCCATCTGAATCTCTTAATCGTTCGTTTTAGGATGGCGATCTGTTGAAATACACGTTGAAACGGCTGGTGGACGGGTTAGGAGCCACCCGGGAAACGGCCCGTCCTGGGTTCAGCTTGGCTTTGGCCCAGGTTGGTATTCGTCTGGGGCGAACTTTGAACATTGCAAAGGAACCACCGCTCCTGTGAGGCTGAGCTACCCAGATCAGAGGGGCCCTAGTTCGAATCTCGCCTCTGTCATTAACTCCATGGGTAACCACGCTTCACTAAGGCACAGCATGTATGTAATGCCAGCTGGGAGGTATTGCTTTTGTTTACGTTTTTTAGTGTAGTCTTGCTTTGATCCTCTTTTGTATTTACAGTGGTGCCTCGCAAGACTATGCTAATTCGTTCCGCGAAAATCGCTGTCTTACGAAAACATCGTCTTGCGAAACGAAAAAGCCCACTGAAATGCACTGAAACTGGTTCAATGTGTTCCAATGGGCTGAAAACTCACAGTCCAGCGAAGATCCTCCATAGGGGCGGCCATTTTTGCTGCCTGTAAAGCGGGGAATCCGTCCTGAAAACACAGCGGGGAGCCATTTTGCACAGCGGGGAGCCATTTTAGAACCGCCGATCAGCTGTTTCTAAACGGTTGTTTAGCGAAAAATCGGTTCCCGATCATCGTTAAGCGAATTTTCCCCATAGGAACATCGTTTTGTGATCACTAAAGCGATTGCAAAAACTTCATCATCAAGCGGTTTCGTCGTTTAACGAGGCAATGGTTAAGCGAGACACCGCTGTACATACTCTGTTGTTCGCTTTAAATACTTATTATAACTATGCAAGCTGCTTCGAGTCATTTTTCAGGCGAAAGGTGGAGTAAAAGTGTTGGAAGCAAATTAAGTGAACAAATAAAAGAATCCCCCAAAGTTATGTCTCTAAGGTGTGATTTGATTCGACTTAAAATTTGAAGTTGCTCACCAAACTACGAAACCCAGCGCTCCGCTCTGTTTTCCCCTCTCTTTCCCCAGGTATTGCAGACTTTTGAGGAAATACCCCTCCTCACCGTCTTGGAACAAATCAAAGAAAAATACGACCTTCACAAAGTGAAAAAGGTAAGGTGGCAGAGCAGATTATAAACTGGAATAAAATGCTGAAGATGGGAAGCTGGCTTGCTGGCGGCTGTGGGATTCAATGTCGTTGAGAAATGTCAAATTTTCCAAATGCAGTGAAATAAAGCATACAACTCCCCTGCCCCCAAAATGCATCCTTAATACAGCATTTCCCCGTGTTATAATTTTAGAACTGCAGATCTGTTCTAAATCCTATGGATCATCCAAGTCCAGCCCCTGGACTTGATGATTCAAAATGTTAATCAAAAATGGATGTTTTGATTTAAATCCTCCAAAATATAATAATAATAATTAAAAAATTTGAATCAATTTGATATAAATCCAATTCATCCTGCCTGAAACTGTCCTTACTTTGCTTTGTAGCCAGTTATGGTTTCTTGTCGTTTTCAGAAACTTTTCAGAAATGCTTTGTTTGGCAACTTTTTTGGGGTGCTGGCCCTGTTCCAGTCTGGACGCCTCGCTAAGGTAAACTTCAATCCCATTGTAATATTTTCGGTCTCTGCGTCTCCCGTTTTGGCCTGTATCCTATACACCAGTCTGAATTATCTAACCATATGCGTTATATCAATCAAATAAAACTTGTATATTATAGTCACCGGCAGAGAATGTTGTGAAGGTTTCTTTCTCTTCATTGCTGGGAATCCAAAATTTGCCAGATGTTTCTCACTGGCTTTTGAGTCTTGTCTTGATATCCACGAGGACTAGAAACTTACATTTTTATCTTTTTCTTCATGATGGCAGGTGAATGATCAGTACAAGACCTGAATGGACTGTGATAGTCTATTACAGTACATTCAACGTACCCTTTATTCTTCTACTTCTGTTCTTGTGGTATTAAAGGCGATAAAGTGCTTCTTATTGGTGACGTTCTGTTTCCGTACTCGCCTTTTTACAGTTCGTAGCGTTATGCGCGGGTTTACAAAAACATCATTTTAATCCGGGGGGGCGGGCGGAGAAGAGTCATCTGTGGCACTGTTTTAAGAACCATCATCCACTTAGTGATCGACAAAGCTAAGCTGCCGGCCACAGAGACGGGCAAAACATTAGGAAGAAAAACCTTCAGAACACAGCGAAACATCCCGAAAAACCTGCAATCGCCATCTAAGCTGCGAAGTTTGTTTTCTCCGTCAAAACGTGGACTAGTCCCTGATGTTCTCGGACTTCAGCTCCCAGAAATCCTGGCCAGCCCAGTGAGTGGTGGAGGCTTCTGGGAGTTTGAGCCCGAGAACATCTGGGAACCACTGGAACAGAACAGTCAGATTGACGCGATCTGTGGTTTTCTACTTTCCCACACTGGGGTCCTCGTTCTCTCTCTTGAATTCCTTAGGCGTCGAAGGCTCTCCTGGAATGCGTCCAGCTTCTTCAAGGCCTCTCCGAGCATTACGCCCACCTGAAAGATCTTCCCCGGAAGACACTGGCCGACATTGTTGCTGAGGTAGGCAGGCGGCAGGATGAACGGCTACTGCTGTTATTTTCCTCGCTGTGATAATCCCCTTTTTCTTCCAGAGCGGGATTCGCTGTGGCTCGTAGATAAGAGAAATAGGATTAAAACACAAACCTAGGTACAAGTAGAATAAACCACTAGAAATACTAATAAAGTCAAATTAAATGGGAAAGTGTGGTTTATGGAATAGTCAGAACCATAGTTTAAGAACACCCCACTAAGAGAAATGTGGGTATGAAGCTGAGAATTAGCAGTTACTGGTTCCGCTTTTGTATGTTTTAAAACAATAATATTTCATCAAGTTGCTTCCAACCAAGAGTGCCCCCTCCCAGGATTTTCTAGGTATGAAGTATTCAGAAGTGGTTTCCCGGGACCTCCTTTTGGTGGCGCTCTGTGACGCTGGCTCAGGGCTCCACCGTTGAAAAAGATGTGCATCCCCTATCAGCCACAAACTCTCCCTCTGGATGATCTCAGCTTGCCCCACAGTGGGGATTCGAATTCTTGACCTCTGCAGCCAGATGTTCTGACTCACTGAGACATGTGCTTTTTAAGCTGCATGGTGGTGTTTCCCTGCCCCGACTCCTCTGGGCGCCGCCTCTGAGTGGGCGCCTGCTAGAGGAGGCGGGGCGGGGAAGTGCCGAACAAGAAGGGAAGCTCGGTTGAAGAAATCCCATGTGCAGTTCAGAAATGGCAGGGTCGTCCACTTTATCATAATAATATTGATACACTCAGAACTGCACAGCTGGAAGAGACCCCGTGGGATCATCTAGTCCAGCCCCGGTCGCGGAGGCACCGGTGGGGGATTTGAACTCCCAGCCTCCAGCTCCACCTCCAGAGAGCTCAACCGCGGAGCTACCCAGCCATTTGTATTCCTTTTCTCAGATCCCTGAAGCTGTTTTTGAGGAAGTTCTCTTTAGCATCCTGGAAGATGATCTCACCTCAGCTTTTAGCACTCCCGGGCAGCTCTACCTCTTACTGGTCGGCATCCAGAACTTCCCAAAGGTTCTCCGGCCAGAGAAGCTGAAGGTGCTTCTGGGCACGTCGGCTGTCGTCACGACGGAAAACATTCCCAGGTAGGTCACCCAGGCGTAGAGGCAAAGCTTAGATGATTTGACTTTGATCCCTGCCTTGAGCAGGGGGTTGGACTGGATGGCCTTCGAGACCCCCC